TCTATCAATTAACACTTTAAGGAGAAGCAGTTACTAAATAAGGGAGTTAGAGTAAGGTGGGATAGCAGAAATAAAGGTAGGTAGAAAGGAGACAAGGAAAATCATAATTTTTTAAATTGTACTTTTAAGAAAAATTACATCTTCAGGGCACAGTTATTGACAGTTACAGTGCCTTTTCCCCTTCTAGAAACAAAAAAAGAATTCTAAGGGCCTTAAAGGTATAATAAGCCTATAAAATGAGCCAGTGCTTTTCTTGAGCTTTGCTTTTCCTTCCAGAGCTTTCTATCCTCAAGAAAACAGCACTGCTAAGAGGACCACATATCTAAATTTCAAATACACGCAAATGGTTTGTATTCTAACCTAGCTCACCATACAATGGGTGACAGACATAGAAATATGTATCTTCCTAGATCACTTATCTTGAAGACACCCCCAAAACCCCATAAAAACTCCCAACCTCAGACCATAATGTGCCTCTCTCTTGAGGGCCTATACCCTATTCTCTCTGAGTGTGAACGTCCTTAATGCAAAATCTTTTCATGCCTCTCACTAATGCATCCTGAAATTCAGCAACCCTACTACCTACTATCTACTACCTACTCTGTGGGTAGGATTAGTTGCAGTCCCCATTTCTTCTTTGGGGAACCTCCTCAGATCTCGTCCAATGACACAAAATCTGTAGCAACAGGAAAGAAGAGAGACACTAGGCAAGGTATACCTGAGACAAATTTCAAACAAATCTCAGTTGTCCCTAGGGCTTTATAAATGTATGTGCATAATACTATAATAATAAATAATGCTGAGAACATTTCATGTGGCAGTGTACCAACCTACTCACTTGGGTAACAGATTTGAAATTAACAGTCAAGAGACTCTCAGACACTCTAAAAAGCAAATCTTCCTTCATTTCTCTAGACTTGAACACAAATTAGTTCATGAGAACCCGTGTCTGCTAATTGAGGAAAAACAAATTCATCCATAGTAATTTTAGACCCTTGTGATTTCAAAAGAAATAAATACAGAATTTAATCTCAGTGCAAACTAAATTTGCCTGTGGATCTCATCTTCTTTCTAATAATGGCATGAGAAGAAGATGGGGTCCAACCAGAAGGGATGCTTTAAATAGTCTCCTGGCATGGAAGAGGGGTGTCCCATCCCAAATCCCTTCTCTAGTTGTTCAAAAGCCTCTTCAACCAAGATACAGTTCCTCTATCCTGATCTTTAGAATCTCACATTATTGTCTCAGTTATAGACTTTAATTTTCCATTTGCAAACTTAAAAGCCAGCATCATTCTTTAATTCTAGGCTGAATTCTCCATCAGTGTATTAAATCTAAAGGTAAAAATCCAGGGCAAGCAGGTAACCTGGGAAATACCAGGAGTGAAGAATGTCACTTTGGATACTGCAGAAGAATTCTTCCACTGAACACACATCTTGCTTAAACTTGTGCAGGGCTAAATGGCTGGGGAGTGGAAAAGTCTGAGACTGCTCACTGCAGAGCCTGAACTTACCTACCCCTAGTGCCACTCACAGAAACAACAAAACCATCATCCACTATTAACACCTAAGGTTTTTATCTGATTAAGTTCAATAATTGGTTAATTTCCCTCATCTACAAAGATCTAAGACAGAAAAAAAAAAAGAACGAGACAAAAAAACACCTCTGTCATGTGTTTCTCTTAAGAAAAGACCATAGGGGAATATTAACATGAGGACCAGGAAATGTACCCATCAAAATTCAATGCTGTTTGGTGTTTGTATCCATCTGAAGAGATAATTTTATACAGTTCTTTTGAATTTCTGCATCACGACCAGAACCACTGATGGTTTTTTTGTTCTTGACTATCATTTCACAGATGTTTTTTATACCAAATACCCTTGGAAGATAGAAATAGTACATTCAGCTAGAGAAAAAAGTACGCTTGTTTACTGTCAAATGCTGTAACTATAATGTCTCTCTCCAGGACAAAAGTTGGATAGGTTAGCTCTCAGAGCATTAAAAAATACTCAGGTTTTCTAAGCACAAGTGTCCTTAGCAGGGACACAAACTCACTACATATTCAGCATCTACCTAAGGAATAAGAAAAACAGTCATAAATTTGAAGCTCTTGCTATTTTTTTGTTCTATAATTAATAAAGTCCTTTGTCTCTGGTCCAGAAGTCTCATGTCCTCTGGCATATCCACAACACTAATAGACTAACTTGTGAGCTTGCAAGTAAGTAAAATCTCAGGATCTTCAGTCTTTTATAGCCACAGTTTCTTGTTCTTACGGTAATCCAGTTCTAACCATAATGTAATTCTCTTCTGGCCTATTAATTTGTACATTTATATTTGTGAAGTAAGAATGGTATTTCAGTCAACTTAGGCTAAGTTGTAGTGTGGTAATAACAACTGCAAATATTAGTGACTTTAAATGATAAAGTACTTATAAACATTAAACTGAGCTCTCCAGTAACAGCCCGGATGTGCAGTACTTCCCAATTTCTATAGTGTAAATCCTTCCACCTTGACCAATTTTAAACCATAGAGTTAAAAGGAGATGAGCATAATCAACTCTTAGAAGTCAACTCTAACTCCACTGACTTTATAGGAAAAGTTTAGTTCTTGCCTATACAAAGGTTTATTTCTTGCCAATGGTGCATCCTTTTGTAGTTCAGCTTTGAGTCTATTCCAGGTCTTCCTCATTCCAGGACATCAGATGCAAATGTAGCTCTTATCTGGGACATGCCAATTGTGTAGCAAAGGGAAAACAGTAAGGATGGAGCCACAGGATTGACCCTTTATGGTACTCTTCAGAAGTGGCAGAAGTCATTGTTACCCACATTCTAGTGGCCAAATCAGATCATTTGGCCAAACTCAAGCCCAGTGAGTTGAGAAGTGTACTCCTGGGTAGATAGACCCAGTAGGGAAAGGCTGCAAGATTTTGACTCTAATACAATCTATAACAATGAGTATCTAGTCTTACTTCTCCTTGCATCTATAGCACCCAAGACAATGGTTTGCATTTACTTAGTGTTTAGTTACTGATAAAACTGAAGAGCAAATTGGTAGAGTCCTAATAACATTAGAAAGTACATTAAAATCTTGTCGTAAGACCAGCAAACACTGTCATTTGAACTTTGTTTATTTTTTCTCCTTTATCTTCCCACATTACAAAGCCTTTTCAATGGAATGTGGTATACCTAGTGGTTAAGATCATTAGTGTGTTATTAGTCTACCTTCAGTAAAGATTTCTTGAACCCATACTTGAAGTCAATATAGTTTTAGACTTGGGAATAACTAGTAATGAATAAAGCAAAGTTCTTGCTGCCATTAAACTTAAAGTCTAACAGGAGACATAGGCAAATAAGCAATGTCATTCAATAGTAAGTTCTATGAAGAAAAATAACAAACATTTAACTAATATTTACAAACATACAAATCCACAGCAAGAGTATGAAGAAAGGCTCCTCTGTGTTATCATTGCTTTCACTAATAAATATTTATATAGCAAAAAAAATAAAGTAACACAAATTTCATGACTTATATAAGCTGTGAATTTGAAAAGAACAATTACCTAATTGTTTTTATTATTTTTATCATCAATTAAACTTTCATTAAATAAAGAATCCATAATATGTTTTAACAGGTTTTATTTGTTTACACTTGACTCTCTTTCTAGTTTCAAAAATTAAATAATCTACTTTTTTTAAGATTGCTATTTCTTTCTTTTTTTTTTTTTTTTTGGTGCTGGGGATTGAACACAGGACCTTGCACTTGCGAGGCAGGCAGTGGAACCACTGAGCTAAATCCCCAGCCCTCTATTTCATTTTTTTTATAGATTTATTTTTCTCTTTCATGCTCTGTTTTGTATTTTTAAATTTCCATCATGTTCCCAACTTGGCTTCATCCTCAGTGAACAAAAAATTTATGTGATTGCATTTAATGTGCTTATGATTTGAATATATATTTGATGAAAAAGTAATAAATATAAAAATTAAAATTAATTTTATTCATTTTTTAAAATGTTCTGTTTTAAAATATTCAGAATTATACTGAAGTTAAAGAAGAAAATTTAAACTAACTCTAATAAACACAAAAACTTTAAATCAATATTATTTATTTATTTATTTATTTACTTGGTTGTATTTGAGACATAGCCCACGCTGGCCTCAAACTTTCAATGATCCTCCTGTCTCAGCCTCCCAAGTGTTGGGATTATAAGCATGGTCCACTAGGCCCAGCCATTTATATTTTATTTTTCAAAAATTTAATTAAATATCAAGTTGTTTTCCAAAAAACTATTTGCAATTTTATATTGTATGCCTAATTACCAAAGAATTGGTAACACATTATGTTAAGAATTACTTACACTCAAATTTAAGAATAAATATAAATTGTTAACATTGCAAAATGGTCCTCAAGTCCTAGGTGCAACTACTGTGAACTTCAGGTAATTGTTGTGTACCTCCACAAGCATGAACAGGAACAGAAAAAAAAAGACAAAAAAGTAGATGCAGGGCACTAATGGGAAGCAACATTTCATTATGCAAGAATTTATTGCATTTATGGTGGGGGCAGGTGAGAAGTTAATTAGTCTTTTCTTTTAAGTGCTCCACTGCTCACATTCTTATCAATTTCTGATGTTGACAGTATCACAGTCCACATATATCCAGAGCATTTGTACACAGTTGCTTTTTATTTTGAATACATATGCAAAAAATATGAAAAGACATTTCCCTGAGGCCTGACCAATGATATCTGTCGTGGTTAGGGTGAGGCTACACTGTCCCAATGTTAAGAAACAGCTCTAAGTGACAAAGGCCTGTGTGTCCTTTAATTAAATTACTTTCTGTGTTTTTGTAATATGCTATAGTTAGAATGTTTGTTTCCTCCCTAAACATATGCCTGTCTCAAAACTCATGTTGAAATTGAATTGCCATTGTAACAATATTAAGAGATGAGACTTTTATTTTATTTTTAACTTTTTTATTTTTTGAAAAAATAAAACAAAATTTCACAACAAAATAATAAGAGACTAACAATAGTTAACACAAGAGACAAGACTTTTAAAAGATGATTAGGTCATGAAGATTCCACTTTTATGGCTGGGATTAGTGACAAGAAGGCCCTCGCCAGACGCTGGTATTTTGATATTGGACTGCACAGCCTCCAGAACTGTAAGCCAGTAAATTTCTATTCAGTTCAAGAGATATTTACAAAGTGAATACAGTTTATTAAATCATTTAAACTTAGGAGAGCATCAAAAGAATTGCCATAATAGTTTTTAGTAATACAGTCCTAGCTGGAAAAGAGGGAACTTTAAACTTTGAGAATCACAAAGGCAATTGGTTTGGTTTGTCATCCAATTCAGTCTTGTTAAGGAAAATAAATTAGTCAAAAAAAATACCAAATTCTCAACATTAAAAGGAATCACTCATATTTTTGATGGGACAATTCATTTAGCCCTTAAGACAGACATAGCATCTCAGAGAGAGAGAGAGAAAAAAGATACACTTGAAATAGCACAGCCACTTTGGAAGACATTTTGGTGGTTTCTTACAAAGCTAAAAATATTCTTTTTTTTTTTTCTCTCTTTTTTTTTGGTACCAGGGATCGAACTTGGGTCCTTGCGCTTGTGAGGCAGGCAGCAGAACCACTGAGCTAAATCCCCAGCCCACTTTAAAAATATTCTTACTATGATCCAGCAGTTGCATTTCTTCAACCCAAAGGAATTGAAAAGTTATATACATCCAAAAACTTGCACAAAGATTTTTATAGCAGCTTTATTCATAATTGCGAAAACTTGAAAGCACTCAAGATATCGTTTAGTAGGTAAGTAGATAAACTGTGATACATCCAGATAATGAAATATTTATGATTCAATGCTAGAAACAAATGAACTACCAAAGCTTAAAAAGACATGAAAGATACTTAAACACAAATTACTAAGTGAAAGAAGCCAATTTGAAAAGGCTATGTACTGTATGACTTCACTTCTATGACTGGAAAAGACAAAACTGTAGAGACACTAAAAGTATCATGGGTTAAGAAGAGAGAATGAACAAGTGCAGACAGAGAATTTCTAGGGTAGTGAAATACTCTGATATTATAATAATGGGTACGGATTATTATACATTTGTCCAAACCCACAGAACACATAATACTAATAACCACCAAGAGAAGTCAACTACTTCACATGATGATAATGAGTCACCCTAGGTTCATCATTGTAACAAATACACCTCTTTAGTGGGGCATGTGAGGCCATGCGTAGGTGGGGTCAGGGAGCATATGGGATATCTTTGCTTCTTCCTCTCAATTTTGCTGTGAATTTAAAACTTCTAAAAAAGTATTTTTTAAAAAGATACATTTCAAAAGACACCAATGCTACATACTTGAATCTGTTTTAAAATGATACCAGAAAGTTCTCCTGTGATAATGAAGAAGGTTGAATTCTATGTTCCATTGTGTTCCGTAGCATTACATGTTCTTCCTTTATTAAAGAACTTATACTGTTTCATAAATTACGATTTTTTTCTATTTCTTCCAATAAATTGTGAACCAGTTATTGAAATAAGTAACAGTAAGAACAGTTGTAATAAAGATGTGAACATTTACATTATGAACATAAGTCTCACACATCAAAATGGGAATGCTATAAAATAATCAAGATACATAAATTTGGATATTAGAGGAGATATATGGACTGAAGAACTGAATTCTGAAGAATTCTAGCATTTAGAGGAAAAATAGAGAACAAAGACAGAAGTAGTCAGTGATGTAAAAGGAAAATAGAGATAGTGTAGTATGTTTCTAGAACAGTAAGAAGAGAAAATATATTTCAAAAAGGAAAGAGCAATAGAGATGGTCAAATACTATTAAAGTTTAGGAAAACTGAGTCCACTTTTTTATGTCCAGTAAGATGAAGGCAAACATACCCACTGGATTTGGGAGAATATTTGCCACTGTTTGCCTTGATAAGAGCAGTTTTAGCAGACATGGGTATGAGAAAACGGAGGCAAAATTTACAAATAAATCTTTTGAAAAGTTTTGCTAAGGAGGAAAATAAATACAGCAGAAGTTGAAAAAAGGCATGTGAGGTCAGTATGTGTGTGTAATCTTATTTGTGTGTGTGATCACATTAGTCTTATCACTTTCTCTTCCCTATGACACAATGCCAGATACCCCCAGCTTAAAAGAGGAGAGATTTATTTTGGCTCATTGTTGCAGTCTAGGATTGGCTGACTCAAAGACAGAAATGGACATGGCAGAGGGGCAGAAGCTGCTTATGTCATGATGGCCAGAAAGCAGGGACGGGAGGGAAGAGCCAGGGAGGAATCTATACCCTTCCTGGTCTTGCCCCCAGTGAACCACCTCCTAACAGCACGTTCTGCTATGGAATCATCAGTTAATCCACCGATGAGTATAGCGCCCCCAATAATCCAATTACCTTCCAAACACATAAGGCTCTTGAGGGCCATTTTAGATCCAAACCATAACAGTATCCTAGTGAACATGATACAGTAGACAATGAGAAATTGATAAAGCACAAAAGGGAATAATGGAAGGAACAAAATCCTCAAGTAGATGAGAAGACATGAGACATCATTCACAAGAAGGGACATTGGCCTTTGCGAGGAAAGACACTTTGCTCTGACAAAGAGAAGAAAATGCAAAAGTGTCTGAAGAAATCATAAAAATGAAGATGCTTCGAATTAGTAACTTCTACTTTCTCAGTGAAATGTGAGAATGGCCATTAGTTGAGAATAAAGGGGTTGGCAGAATAGGAGTGAAATAGTCATCCACTGGAAGAGGAAAATAGTGTTATTCAAGAAGTGTTGCGGTATTTTTGGATCTCTCTTGACATGCGTGGTCATGAATTGAGGTGAGGTAAGTCAGTGCAGCTTTGTGATTTTCTTTTGCAATATCCTATTCTTCGGTTACAGGCACAGAAGACAAATAGTTTGGTTCATCTTAGGGTGGGGTTTTTCCAGGCAATTTTTAACAGAGAAAGGCTGAGTATGCTTCTTCTTAGGCGAGTCTTGAAGTGTAACCATGTTCCTGAGTGAATATGGGCAGGAACAGATGGATAGAAACAAATTCTAAGATCTATGGCTTGGAAGCCTCAAAGCATTGGAAAAATTAGGGGCATACTGAAGCAAGTATCCTGGAAGGATGGGAGATGAGGGTTGAAGTCAGATGTTTGAAATCAATATTTTGGAAAGGTGATATTTATGGTACTATCAAATGTTACAGAGACAGAAAGTGTCTGTTACCATATAAGACTATATAACAAACCACCCCAAAACTTAGTGACTTGAAAGAACACTCTTCTGTTTGTTTTTCGTTTTTGTTTCTCACATCTCTGGGTAAGCTTGATAATTTGTTGACCTGGCCTGGTATTGGCTGATCAATTCAAAATTCATGCACACTTTCTGTGGTCATCTTACAGGTCTGCTTTGAGCCAACTAGGTCAAGTTAACCTTATCTAGGAAAATCAGGCTCTGCTATACATGGTCACCTTCAGTAGGCTTGCTGTGGTACTGGCAAAGTCCAGAGAGAAAAAGAGAAGCGAGGGGAGGAGGGATAGGAGGGAGGTAGGGAAGGAGGAAGGGAGGGTCATAGCAGGAGGGAGGGAGGGAGAAAGAGAGAGAGAGACAGAGACAATATGCAAATTCTCTTGAGATCTAGAATCAGAATCTACATATCACTTCTACAATTTTGTACTGGTCAGAGCAAATCATAAATAAACCCAGACTCAAGAAGTAGGAAAAATAATTCCCTTGACTCAGATTTTAAAGGATGTAGTTATAGCAAAGAATAGGAAAACTGGAATGATCTTGTTATCAATCTATGGCAACAAAATCTTGGATAAGATCAGGTTATTCGGGACCAGGGATTTAGCTCAGTGGTTTCGCTGCCTGCTGCGCAAGCACAAGGACCCAAGTTCGATCCCCAGTACCAAAAAGAAAAAAAAAAGATCAGGTTATTGCATGGCCTAGCCATCTTCCTAGTAATATCTCTGAGAATACATTCATAAGTACCTTATGTTTGAGTAGCACTTTTGAATTTGAAAAACGTTTGTAACTATTTGATTGATCTTTACTACAACAAGGACTTAACTCCGCTGCACAGAGAAGGTCATGTAAATATTTTATATTGTGGAGGAAACAAGGTCAGACTTGTGCATAAAAAGGTTAGCCTGGAAGGTGTAGGATACTTGGAGAAGGTAAATAAAATAGGAGACCAGTTGAAAGCTGTTGAGTAGATTTGTGGATAAAAACTATGACTCTAGGTTTAAAAAAAAAACAAAAAAAACCTATGACTCTAAACTTAAGTACTAGATATAAAAAGAAGACAATAGCCAGAAATATTGAGTATGTGTAGGCAAAGTAAGGAATTAACATGGAATTCTAGGTTTCTAACTTGGGTATCTGGGTAAATGCTCAAGGTAGAGAGTTGAAAATGATGAGCAGATTTGAGACAGGAATAGGCTAATGAATCCAGTTTGGACATATGGAGTCTGAGGTTCTCAGAAGACTTAAGCAGATATTAATCATCTGTTGAAAATATGAATGTGAAACTCAGGAGAACTCTGTTTTGAATACAGCTGATAAGCCAAGACTATCTATAACTGAGGTGGTAATAGAAGTAAACATATATGGAATTAATATATCAGGAAAGAAGTATAGGAAGGAAATCAATGAGTTTATAGGGGGAAAGAAACTTAAAACAGAGCCCTGAGAAACATCAACACTGAAGGGTTAGTCTGAAAGAGAAGGGGTAAGATCTCAAAGGAGACTGAAAAGGAGAATGTAGAGGGTAACATGAGAAAAAACAAAATAGATTGATATTACAAAAATCAAAGAAAAAGGAAGATGCCAAGAGAGCTTGTCAAGAATGCAAAATATAGCTCATATATAACTATTAAGTGCCTAAGATTTCATCGCTATGAAATACATCAGCACTATGAAGTGAGTAAGAGTGGTTTCAGCAGTGTTATGAGAAGGAGCTTAGTTGGAGGGGTGGTGATTTTGTAATAACCAAGAAACTGGGTAGACGTAATGCTGCTTGACTTTGAGGGTAGGTGAGAAGAGGTAGTAAGCTTCTGACTATTTGCTGAGATATTCATCTTTGGAGTCCTGAGCCTCCAAGTGTACCTACCCAAGGCCACTATGATGTGAGGAAGCCAAGGCTATATGAAGAAACCATGCATAAGAACTTTGGTCAACAACCCCAGCTAAAATCCCAGCCAAAGCCAGCATCACTTGCCAGAAGTGCAAGCGCATTGGTCTTCCAATAGTTCCTGCCCCAGTCATCAGGTCACCCTTAAGCTTTCAAGTTTTCTTAGCTGAAGTTCTAGACAGCAGGAAACAGAGACAAGCCATTTCCCCTCAGCCTATCCTATTTTTGACCTCAGGATACATAAACACAACAAATGGTGTTTTAAGTGTCTGAATGTTGGTGCAATTTTTTACACATTCATACCAACTAAACTATCATAGAAAGAAATGATATGTCCAGAGAGAAAAGATGTATGTTCAATGATATTATAATTTTGGAGGATCTCAGATTTGCGAAATATCCTTCTCAACTCAAACTCTAATCTTTCCAAGTTTTAGTCCTGGAAAACACTCAAGTTAGATGTATCTTTTCACAAGTTTCTGAGGATTTATAAGAAGCTCTTACTATAATTTCCTGTTACCTTATTTCTGAAACCTATCCTAAATTTCATCTTCTCTCTGAAATCTGCAAAAGTGACTATTTTTGATAAATGTAATCTTTCATTCCTATGCTTTGAACACTTTAAAGAGCTTTGTTTGTTTTGATGAACATATCCCATTGTTCTAATAAATCTGAGACTCAGTCATGTTTCCTTGTATCATCATATTGATTGTCCACCTCAGACCAATGTATCAATAGATGTTCAATAAATATCTGTTGATTGACCTGACTATTAATGCAAATATTACAGCTAGATTTTTTTTTTGTACCAGGGATTGAACTCAGGACCTTGCGCTTGCCAGGCAGGGCATCACTGAGCTACATCTTTGGCCCACAACTAAATTTTTAAAGCTGATTATTTTGTTCTGCAACAATAAAGTTTACTCTAACTTCTTGTTTTCAAAGAAAAGGATTGTATATACAGTTAACATAGAAAGTATATATCCTATTAGTGTCTTCAAAACTTACTTTTGTTCATACAATGCTGGTTTTACTTTGATCATACCATCTAAAGAAATGTTGTTCAAGGATTGCAGGTGTTCAGGTTAATAAATGTGATGACAATGCATGTTGAGAAGTACTGGGCCAAGTTTGTAGTCACACGGTTTTCTAAGGAAAGGAAACAGGGAGAGGAAGTGTGAATGACTCGGTAGGAGGTAGCTCCTTAATTAGTAAACAAGAGCTTTATACATATTGAGCCATGTGGCTGCTTTTAAAAAAAACAAAGTCCGTGAGAAATTTCAGCTGTTTCTTGAAAATACGTTCACTTGCACTTCCCTAATGGAAACATGTCTTATTATCTGTGAGAATGGAGGAGTTTCTTCACGGAGAAGAAAGAGACAAAATGAGAGGGGACTGTAAAGAGCCATCTCACAAGCAGTCTGAAGAGAGGGAAAGCATTGGTGGTTGAGGGCTTGCTCAGTATACACAAATAGTATATGGACAGCCACAGAAATCATTCTTTGTATTTAGAAAATTTGCAAAATTAAAGGACAGAATTTGAGTGTGGGCAGATTGGGAGATCAGGGCCAGTTGTTTTCTGAATGTGTTTAAAATGCAGGCATTCTAATCAGGGGCTGTTAGAATCATCAGACTTGGACTGTTGTCTAGGCCCTTGGCCCATGATCCAAGTCACTGAGGTCATGGACTTTTGTTTATTTATTTGATAAATATTCACTGAAAACATAAGAGTCAGACATTGTTCAAGGTACTAAAAACACTGAAATTGGGTGGGGAGGAAGAGTGGATTAAAGTCTCTGCTCTGAAGGAATTTACATGTTTCTAGTAGGGAGACAGATGTAAGCAAATAAGTAAGATTTTTAGATGACAATAAGTCTCCTAAAGAAATTAAACCTCTGGTATAATAAAGTTTGACCTTGACATTCAGTAAAACAAAAGCCTGTGCAAGGTGGTTCCTGTGAGGTTTAATCCATCAGAGTCCCTGTAGAGATCATGGACAAATCAAAGCCTAAGTCAGAAGACTTAGACAATTCATTCATGCTGGGCAATGGCTCTGAAGACTTGACTGCCCCTGGATCTCCCTCTGGCTATAAGAGGTTCTTTACGATGCAAAAGCAGGAAAGTTGTCCAGTAACTTGGAGCTGTTCTGAAATTATAGGCCTGTTCCAGCAGATGCTTCTTGCCTGAAATAGCTTTTCTCTCCAAACATGCCGATTTATGGCCTGCTTGTTTATTTTTCTTGGTTGCCTTAATGTCATTGATATCAGATTCCATTTATCCTTGAACTTCACCGTTTTTCTCTACCACCATCCCTGGGCTATACTGCTTGCTTTCTGAGACCAGTCAAGCTTGCCTAACTCATGTCCAAGACCTAGCCCTGTCTGACTGTTGTGATTTGGATGAAACATCCTGCTGACTTGCCCCATAATGATGACAACCTGACAGAACTTAGTTTTGCCTTCCTTATGTCAAAACTAGGATTTCTGCCAATATGCCTATTCTTTAAAATGCTCTAGCAATGTCGTGTGTGTGTGTGTGTGTGTGTGTGTGTGTTTGTAGTCAATGCTGTAGGTCAAACCCAGGCCCTCAAACATGCTAAGCAAGTGCTCTACTGTGGGGAGCGGTGTCAGCCAAAAAGCTTCATTTTGATTTTACCCTCTGTTATAAATATCCAGGAGACTATGTTATGGGGAACCATGTCTTCGCTAATTCCGATGTTTACCTTTAGAGATTGCCCTGGCAACAAGATGAACCTTCTGTAACTCCATGAAACAAAGTAGCCCCTGAGGGCAAGGAGTGTCTAGAAAACTAGCAAACAAGGAAGCAGGTGTTTTTGGATAAAGGTCATGGTTAATGACCTTACTCACTGAATGTATAAAAGAGAGGTGAAAATAAACTTGCTCGCTCGGTCTTTGTGGGCCCTCCCGTCTCTCTGTTTCTTCTTTCTCAATCCTCATGTCCCCACTCAGGTCTTGTTCGACAGGTTGCGGCCGGACCGTGACACTCTACCACTTAGCTATACATCTAGTCCTCCAATGCCTTCTAAATCTATACTATCTAGAATATTCCAACTGAAGAGGTTATGCTTTGAACACTTTGTGGTAAAGGATCCTAAATAAGACAGCTAAATGCTAGGCCTATTTTATGGTTGATATCTAGATGTCCCACCAAAGCCTCAGGCACTCATAGGTGGGTTTTTTGGGAGTGACTGGATCATGAGTAAGTGATGCTGGCTAGGTCCACTGACTGGTTTAGCATAGTTCTGGATGATTGACTTACTGAAGAGGGAAGACCCACTCTGGCTGTGGGTGGCATCAAACAAAGGGCTTGTAGCCTAGATGGAATAAAAAGGGAAAGAAGAAGAAAGGCTGCTGACTCCTGCCTGTTGTGCCATGGACTGTTTCTCCTCTGCCATGCCCCTCTACCATGCTGCCCTGCCTTGGAGCCAGCTGACTATGAACTGAAACCTTTACAAACTGAATTAAAATAAACCTTTCCTCCTTTAACTTGTAGGTTTTTCTAGTGTTTTGTCTCAGCAATGATAAAGTAACTAAGACAGCTTGCTAGTCAGCAGAGGAAAAAAAAAATCCATCAATTAGTTGAAACGATGTCAGGAATCTGTTAGAAGGACAGGTGTGTAGGACTACCTGGCCAAGACCTATTAGGCCAGGGGTGTGGTCGCTCCCCCAGAATTTGAGGTCCCCTGAAATGCCAGGTAATTTCATGTTCCAAAATCATTTACATGAGGAGCTGGAAAAAGATGTTCCATTACAAAAGGTGAAAAGAGTTTATTTGAAGGACAAGTGGGACTCTCACGTAATCTAACTACAAGTACTATCATTAGGACTTAAAAATGTTGAGAAATCTTCCGGTAGTATCTCTCTCTCTCTCTCTCTCTCTCTCTCTCTCTTCTTTCAAACAGCACAATTTCCTTTCTCAGCATCTGTCTGTCAGTTCCTTCATGCAGCCAGGCATCTTTCACCAGGTTTTTAGATTCTGTGGCTGGGTAACTTCAGCTTAACATAAGCCTTTGCCCAGCTGTGGACATTTGATTCAGACTTGATCAGAAGTTACAGCCCCAGTGCCATAACTGATTACTAAGTCAAATTCCATGTCTCTTAGTTCAAATTCTTGTGACAGATAATTTGATTGGCCCTCTAAGATTTGGGATGCTTTCCCCTGGGTTTTCTGTGGCAAGCCCCTGGGGCTGGAGATTTTACCATCCTGTGTTGCAAACTCAGTAGCCACAGATGCAATCAGAGGGAAGATCTTCTTAGATGGAAAGAAAGGTAAGAAGGGAAGCAGTGGTCACCGTATAGTGAAGCTATAAAGGTCCAGTGGTAGGTGTCTACAACCCAGCTACTCTGGAGCCTGAGGCAGGAGAATTGCAAGTTCAAGACCATCCTGGTAAGAACTTGTCTTTAAAAAAAAGGCCAGTTATAAAGTTTGACTACTTTGCAACCATCCTCAACTACTAGAGTCCACTCTTTTCAGGCCAACATCTTGGTAGGTGGTTGTTGTAAAGATTCCTCCAATTTGTATAAATGTTTGAATTGCCTATTGCTAGGGCAAAATATAGTTCTAAATTTATCCATTCTTCCAAAGGGAAATCAAATTGTAGACATGATAAAGATAGGTATTTTGTAAATTATGATCTAGCAGAACTAGTCCAGCAAAGTAAGAACTTGGGAAGCACCAATGAAGAAGGATGTGATTAAAAATAGTTTATAAGGGGCTAGAAAATGACAGCAGCCTTCCTTGTACATTCATGTGCTGGCTTCTCCCCAGCATACCTTTCACTTCACCCTCTTCTTAACACAGTCTTAGTCATTCTTCAAGATCTAGATTAACCATAACCTCTAAAAAGCCTTTTCTGACAGTCTATTTCCAAAGGCAAAGGTGATCTCTTGCTTCTTTGGTCACAGACAATTTAACAGCATTTCTGTATGGGCAGGGAACTTGTTTTATTCTTTGAATTTCCCATAACACCTAACACAATATGTACATGAGGCTGAAATGATTATCTATTGATTAAAGCCCAAATAACCAAATAGATTTGCTTAATAAACTTCACTTTACACAGACATCAAAGCAATAGTCTATCAAAGCTCTAAAGGAATGCTGTACTGTTAATTTTGTACACTCAACATCACCTACATTATTTCCATGATTATTTCATCTAATTAACATATATCAAGAGAAGAATCCTTATAGCCATCTTACTACAAAGAATTCATAAGCTTTTATGCAGCATCAAAATAACAAATTATAAAAGGCAAATTCAGTAAAGAAATATTCGCTTATTCATTCAATCAAATAATATTGATAGTGTTCTCACTGTGTGATAGACACAATAAATATGTTATAGTAAAGCAGAAAAGGTAGAGAATAAAAATGTGATGTGAATATTTTATATAATGACCATGTAGTAATTCATATTGAATAGGGGCTAAAAGGAGCTGTTAAAACTTTCCCATCAAACAGTTTTGTAACATCAGTGTGCTTATAAATTATTTGTTCAATACTGTCTGTTTTCTACAGGGAATATAAGCTCCATTGGGGCCCAGACTAGTTCTGATTTGTTAGAATTGAAGCCCTGTTATGTAGCACCAATGCTAGAACATAATCACAGATCCAATAAGCATCTGTTGAATGAATAATGAACACATTGGTGTGTAAGGATTAAAGTTACATGTTTTCTAAAATCCCAAATAGGGAAAATTATAAAACAGAAAGTTAAGCTGTCCTTTACTGAAGACAATTTGAGAAAGATAAATCATTCAAGAAAAGGACTCCTTATCAGTAAATGAAAAGAAAAATGAAGATAAATTTAGATTGGATTTTGGCAAAGGCTCACAGGCTCAAGAGTTCAGCAATTTGTTCAACAAATGTGAATCAAATCCATCTGAGTGCCAGGCAGTTTGGTGAGTAGTAGGATTCAATAAAAATAAGGTAAACTTTGCCTCTGTCCACATGGACTTTCCAGAGATCCAGAAGGTACTAGAAGGTTCAAAGATTATTTCCTTTGCATATAAAACAAACCAAAAACTCTCACAAAAACTAACTGCACACATGACAAGCAAATGCCTAGCAGGATTTGATCATACTTGGGCAAATATAACTCTCAGTTCTACATTGTGTTCTATAATTTCTTGTATAATCCATGCTGTTCCACACTCTAGGTCACTGTTCGTGCTGTTAACAGTTGCTAGAACCTTTCCTCACTTAAGTCCTTTTGCTTGTCTAAATGTAGTCATCCTTGAAATTTTGACACAGTCTCCTATCTGCCACTTCACACTTCTCAACCACCATAAACTTTGTATGCATCCCCTACCACTGTGTTTAGCAAATTATACTGAAATCATGATTTGTCTCTTTTCTGAACTCCAAGTTGCTCTAGGGTAGAGGCTAATTTTCACTCATTTTGTATTTATAATGTCTGGTTCATAACAGGTGGCCAATAAATGCTTGAATGGAACTGAAGCTTCTATGTTTGCCGTTTAGAAAATTATCTCCCTAATATAAAAGCGAGGACTATGCTTGACAGCCTGTATTTTCAAAATTTCTTTAATAGGCATTTTACATTCTGAATCATGAGAAAAAGATAGCTGAAAACATTTACAAGCCTGAGTACATTCTCTTTGCTTCTCACCCATAGCTCAACTTCACAAGAGAATTATCTTTACTGTTTCCATTATCTTTACTGTTTCCCTCACAGTAAACCCATTTAATTTCTTAATATGTTTGTCATATTATAATGATTGCATAATAAGTAAATTCAGACCTTTTTTTGGCAAGTACAATACCTAAAATGCTGCTATTGTGTTAGAAGGGAACACTCTCTGGTCTTGCTACTGCTCCTGGGATAGTGAAAAAGGTATTTATGAGACAGAACATAATAAAAGGAAATATAAATATATGAGAATATCTGCCACACACAAACATTATCTCTGACATGGTCCATCACTGTAGACTGAGTGCCCTTGCTGTTTATTATTTGAGTATCTCTATCTATTATTGCAGTAGACAAACAGTTTCATTAAACATTGCCCCAGATTCAGTGCCTTAAAACAATAAATGTTTATCTAGTCTACTGCAGGTTGACAATTTCAAATGGGCATAGCAGGGAGGGACCCCTCCTCAGCTGGACTTCTGCACATATCTGGGGCCTGATGGCGGTTGACTGATCTAGGAAGGGCCCACTTGGGATGTCTGAGAAAACTGCTCTCTTCCACAGTTTTTCTTAACCTTGTGGATCTTTATTCAGAAAATGATAACCTTTTGTTAGGAAAATTAAAATACCAATAAGTAAATCCCAAGAATACTATATTCTTCAACACAGAAACCATTAGAAATGATGATGAAATTATACTGATAGACACTGCAGGCCAAGGAGTACCTGAATGTAGTTGTGGTCTACATACCTTTCCTTTGTGATGGGTCCCCAGAGGAAACAATGGCACAAAAAGGAAAGGTAACATCTGACATCAATCTCCAAAGGCAACTACTAAAGTAATGACTAAGAGCTGTACTTGAGAAGTCAGTACTGGAGATGAAGCGGGGCACTAAAAAAATACTGGGTGCAAAGTAAGTCTGAAAAAGAAGAACAAAACAAAACAAAAGAACTGAAGAATAAATGGATAAAATAGAAAAGAAAAAGTTAAAAGTACATTTAAACCTAATCTTATTAATAATTACATTAAGTAAAATGATGTAGGCATTTCAATTAAAAGCCATGGATTGCTTAGATTAGATTGAAAAATCAAGACTCAACCACATATTGTCAACAAGATTATTCTTTAAATATAAATAAACAGATACATGAAAGATAGAGGGTGGAAAAAAAATCACACAAACAGAAATCATAAGGAAACTGAAGTGGACATGTTAACACCAGAAGAAACAGACTTTAAAACAAATAATCCTAACAGGTTAAGAGGAAAATTTTGTTAAAATAAGCAAGATATAAAAATCCTAAATGTGTATGCACCTAAAAAAGAGTTTCAAAACACATGACGCAACAATTGATAGAACAGAAAGGAGAAAAAGATGCATCCACCATTACATTAGAAATTTTAACACTCCTCTTAGTAATCTCTAAGACAAGTAGACAAAAATCTGTAAGGCTGTACAAGACCTGGACAGTATGTTTCTTCAACTGAACTTATTAGACATTTATAGAGCAATCTTCATGCTCCCCAAACACAGCAAAATATACATCATCATATATACATGAAAACCCACCAAGAATGCTAAGCGAATAATTTAAAAAGGACAGAAATAATACAGAAAATGTCCTCTGACCAAACTAGAATTAAACTAAAAAACCCTAAAAAGAAAATTCCCAAATACTTGGAAAATATGTAACACATTCCCTAATAACTTATGGCTCATAAAAGAAGTCGTAAGGAATACCAAAATATTTAGAGTTAAATAAAAATGAAAATAAAATATATCAAAATTTGATAACGCTGAACTCAAAAGGAAACTTATGCTTTGTTTTATATGTTAGAAAAGAACAAGGTCCCAAATGCATAATGTACATTTTCACCTTAAGGAGTTAGAAAAAAAAAGAGCAAATAATCCCTGAGAAGTATAAATGTGGCAGTGAATGTTAAAGATGAAAATCAGAATAAATGAAATAAAATGAACAGACAATAAAGTTAATGAAACAAAAGATGTTTTGCAAAGAGATCATACTGAGATATCTTTAATTCCATTGATCAAGTAAAAGAGGGAGAAGATGCAAACAACTTATATTAGAAATAAAAGATAGTACTGTACATCACTGTAACTCTATAAGTAATAAACAATACTATGAAGAACTTTAGAGACAAATTTCTAAAAATAGAAAAATTGGATTGTCTTTTCCACTACAGACATTAAATTCATACTTTTTCTGAAAAAGAAAACTCCTAGTGTAGATAATAAAGCCATTACAAAAAAGTTACATATCAATATCCCTAATTAACTTGGGTTCCTTAAAATCCTTTGGCTATTAGTAAGTAGAACTCAACACCATGACCAAATGTGGCTTATCCCAGGAATGCAAAGTTAGCTGGATGCTTTAAAATCATTTAACCCAACACATCAAGTCTAAAATTTAAAATAAATAAAACAAAAAGAACACATAAGATCATCTCAATAGATGCTTCTCTTCCCAGGAATTGATGCAATTTAATATTCATTCATGATTTTTAAGAAAAGCATGTGCAGAAAACTACAAATGACATTATACATAATGGTAAAATCATGGCTGCTTTCTCTAAACATGAGGGAGAAGGTAAAGACATCCTTTATCACTACTTCTGTTCAACATTACATAGAATGTTCAGTGCAACAAGGCAAGAAAAGCAAATAAAAACATGATATAGGGGGAATCAATGTAACTCCCATCATGCTAGATGTCAGATATGCCAAGTTTGTGTTCCCTGAAGTCGAAGAACAAATTCTAAGGAATAATGGAGGCTAAGAGTAAGAACATTTATTGGGGAATAAGAATAGCTCCAGAGAGACAGGACAGGTTCTGAATGGGTCACCAACAAGCCCAAGTCATGAGGGGTGGGTACAATGTGGGTTAAAAACTATAATCAACCAATAAAATTACAAGTATAGTCCTTTAGGTAATATTGACCCAATAGAACAAGGGTATATGGATGGCATCATTAACCTTCGTCGATAATCTGTAGTCTTACTGTTAGTAGTCTTAGTCTTAGTGTTCTTAGTTTTAGTGGGAGGAGGAGGATGGCCCACACCCAATGAGATAATGGTCTATCTAAATGTCCAAAAGGGTGGTACTAATAATCTCAAACTGGTACTAATAATCTCAAGCTTCTGTTCATCTCTTAGGGAAATATGCAAATCTGGCCATTGTGACTTTAATCTTCTTCAGATGCACCCCTAGCCACAGCTTTGATGTGTTCTCATCCTCTGCATTGACTTGGAGGGCCCAGCCCTGCCTGACTTCCTACAATATTTCTGTCTGTATCAAACATGCAGAATGGAAACAAGAAATAAAGCTTGTTATTTTCAGAAATATGATTGTTTACATGGAACTCCCAAGAAGTCTATAAAATATTTTAAGAACTAAAGCTGGGGTGTGGCTCAGTGATAGAGTGCTTTTCTAGCATGCAGGAGGAGGCCCTAGGTTCAATCCCCAGCATACCAAAAGAAAAAAAAAATCATTACTAAAAGTAATAGGTTCATTAACAAGGTCTCAATGTAGGAGGCAAAAATTAAAAGTAGTAAGGAACCACTAAAAATGAAATTCAAAAATATTATTTATAATAACAAGTCACATAAAATATTCAAGGATAAATATATGCAATAGCTATACTAAAAACCACATAGAACATTGCTAAGAAAAAGTAGAAAAGACCTAAATAAACTCAGACCTAATACTATATTCATAGACTGAAAGACTGTTTCGCTTTCTTGATACTGGGGATGAAACCCAAGCTTTTACATCTTCAGCCACAAGCCCCCCTATTTTAAAATTTGTTAGTTTTAAGACAAGATCTTGCTAAGTCACTAAATTGCCCAGGTGGGACTCGAACTTGCCTCACCCTCCCGGAGCGCTGGGATTATAGGCATGCAGGACTATGCTTGGCTTAAATATTGTTAAGATGTCAATGCCTCCTAAATTGATCTATGTATTCACAATCACAATCAAGTCCCTCTGGGTGTTTTTAATAAAACAGTCAACTGACTAATTCTAATTTCACATGCAATTGAAAAAAACTTGGAAGAGTAAAAAATCATTTTGAAAAAGAACAAATTTGGAAGATTTAAACTTACTATTTTCAAGACCTGGTAAAGTTATAGTAATTAAGAAATATTTGTATGTCTTAGTCTGCTTTCTGCTGCAATAATAAATAACAACAGGGTGAGCACTTTATAATGAAATTTCATTTGGCTTATGGTTCTAGAGGCCCCAGGGTCCAAGAGCATGGTGCCAGAATCTGGTGAAAGCCTTTCTGCTTAGTATTCATGGCAGAAGGGCAAGAGAGGGTAGAAGCAAGAGAGCATGAGGTGACTGAACTCAATTTTATAATAACACACTCTTGTGATAATTAACCCAACCATGCAACAACTACATTCATGAAGGCAGAGCCCTCTGACCACTTTTTAGACCCCCCCCACAACACTATTGGACTGGTGATTGAGTTTTCAACACAGGGGATATATTCAACCCATCACATTGTATAAGGATATACATATAGTTCAGTGGAAGGAATGATCTATAACTGGACACTGAGTTTTCACCAAAGTGCTAAAATAATTCAGTAGAAGCTTTTCAACACATGGTGGTGGAACAATTGTATATCCATTTAGAAAGAAATGAACATTGACTCTTTCTTCCCACCATATGCAGAAATTAATTTAAAATGGATTATAGATCCAAATGTAAAAGCTAAAATTATAAACTTTAAGAAGAAAGCATGAAAAATCTTCACTGTTTTAAGAGTAGGTAAAATGCCTTTAGTATGTCACTAAAAGCATGAATAACGAAACAAACAGGGGCTGGTGATTTAGCGCAGTGGCACTGCACCTGCCTTGCAAGTGCAAGGTCCTGGGTTCAATCCCCTGTACCAAAAACAAAACAAAACAAACAATTGGTAACTTGAACTTCACCAAAATAAAAATGTCTACTCTTCATAATGCATTTTGAAGAAAATGAAAATGCCAGTGTATTTGTTGCTGTATAAGAAAATTTCTCTGGAACTTAGGAGCTGAAAACAATAATAGGCACCTGATGTTACTCACAGATTTTGTGGATCCAGAACATGTTAATTTCTTGGCTACCCAATGGTAGCAGAGAGCATCATACAAGACTGCAGTCATCTGAAAGCTCGACAAGGGCTGGAAGAGTTACCTCCAAGGTGCCACATGTGGCTGTGGATTATTACTCCTGGCCGTTTATCAACAGACCTCAGTGCCTTCCTATCTGGACCTTGAAAAGGACTGGCCTTCTCTAGAGCAAGCAACTCAAGATGGCAAGGTGGAAACTGACATGTCGTTTTACGATCTAGCTGCGTAGAAGCCACATATTATCACTTCTACAATTTCTTTTTAGTTACACGGGTCAGCTCTATACAGGATGGGACTGTACAAGTGGATATCAGGAGGCTGAGATCAGTGGGTTCTATCTTGGAGGCTGATTGCATAGCAGGCCACATCTGAGGGACAATACTCATAAATATCTGACAAATGACAGGTATAAAAAAATAGAATATTTACACCACAGTAATAACAGGACAAAACCTGAAATAGGCAAAAGATTTTTAACAGATATTTCATAAAAGACAATACACAAATATCTTTTCCATAAGCAATATCTTTTCTTTAATATCTTTTCCATAAGCTAGTCATCAGAGGAATAAAAACAAAACCACCTACTTCCACCAGAATGGCTAAAGTTAGAAAGGATTGACATCACCAGGTGTTGGAGAGGAAATGAAACAACTGAAACTCTCAAACTTTGCTAGCTGAGATTCACGTTGGTAAAATCTTTAACCACAATAACCCCAAACTACAAAGAAACCAAATGTCTATAGACAGGAAAAAAATTGTAGCAAGTTTATATTATGGAATATTATTTGGCAATAAAAAAGAAACAACTGCCACACACATGAATGAATATGAATGAATTTATGAAATATGCTGAGCTGAAACCAGACACAAAAGTGTACATACTGGTTGATTCTAGTTACATCCAATTCTTGAAAAATAAACTTACGTATAGTGACAGAAAGCAAATCAATAATTGCCTAGGATCATGAGTAGGTAGGAACAGGAAAGGTTGGAGGGTGCTTTTTATAGTGCTGGAAATATTCTACGGCATAATGTTGGTGATAATTACCTCGACATATTAATTTGCCAAAATTCATTGAAATATACACTTTAAACGAGGTTATTGTTATGTATGTAAATAATAATTAGGTCATCAACTTAAAAAAAGTAACATTCTCTTTTGGTTAATTTTTTATGTCAATTTCACTGGGTGAGAGATGCCTACAGAAGTTGCAAATTACTACTACTGAGTGTGCATTTCAGGTGTTTCCAGAGAGACTCCATGTGGGTCAGTGAGTTGAGTGGGAAAGAGCTGGCCTGAATGTGGGAAGTGATCTTCCAATGAACTGTGAGATGATGGGACAGGAAAGCACAAGTGTAAAACTCTCTGTGGTTCTTCCTCCCTGAATGGGGTGTGTTTTCTCCTGCTGCTGCCCTTGAACATCACACTCCAGGTCCTTTGGCCTCTGGGACTTCTTGGCCCTTCTCTGGCTCTCTTGGAAGTTCTTGAGGTTTTGGCCCTTTTCTGAAGGCTGCACTATACGTTTTTCTTGTCCAGAGGCTTCCAGTCTCTTGGGCTGAGTTATCACATTGGCTTCTCTGGTTCTCTGGCTTGGAGAGGTTATCATGGAACTTTCAAACCTTTATGAGTGTGTCAGGCAGTTTCCTAGTAAATCCACTTTTATATGTATGTATTTTATTGATTCTGGTTCTCTGCAGAGCTCCAATACAATTGCCAAAATGAATTTGCTTCATAAGATATAATTGCTTTAAATTATTATACTCAATAACTTTTTGACATACTTGAGGAAGGTAAGCAGAAAAGAGGACCAACAAGAGAGGGCAGGCCTTCCTCATGTTGATTTCACTGCTTCAAAGGAGTCCTGAAGCAAGCAGCAGACTATGCCAAGTGGTAGTGTGGTCTATGAATTTCAGGCTTTGACCAGCAGCAGAGCTTGAGAAGAAAAAGAGGGAAGATCAAGAAGTAGGTGAAGGAAAAACCAAATAAGTAATGGATATGACCACAAATTCCACCTTTTTCACAGGCACATGTGAAAAAGAAAACTCTTAAGCTATAGGGAAAAGTAGAACAGGTTGGTGCAGTTTCTTGAGCACTAATGCCACTGTTGCTTGAGTGGAGATGGAGTCTGTCTTGTGCACTGTATGATTAACACCATCTCTAGCCTCTGCCCTCTAGATGCCACCCCCCCCACCACCACCATAAAAAAATGACTTATGACATTGTCAAATTCCCCTGGGGTGCTACATTGTCTCAGGTTGAGAACTACTGGATATGTGAATATGTTCCTTATTACTGGGTAACAAATCATCCCCAAAATTTAGTGGCATAAAACAACAAACATTTATTAGCTCACAGTTTCTATGGGTGTTCTAGTTCAAGGTCTGTGATGAGGTTGTAGTACGGATGCAGTTGCCTGAACGCTTGACTTGGGCTGAAGGATCTACTTCTGTAATGTGGCATTCATGCAGCGATTAGCAGAAGGCTCAGGTCCTTGCCAATTGTTGATGTGTGTTAGTTCCTTGCTACACAGGCTCCTCATAGGGCTGCTTTATGTGTTCTTGTCACTTGACAGCTGCTGATGATGTGGGAGAGTGGAGGGATACATGATGCCTTTTCATGACCTCGGAAGTATCAGTTCTGCCTTCTTGAGTCCAGTAGAACCACATCACTAACCATAACCCCCACTTACTGGGAAGATAATTAAGGTCCAGTTTGTGAGGGAAGGAGTAGTAACAAATTATGGGCGTATTTTAAGACCACTGTAATTAGACAAAGTTTAAAATGGGCTGAAGAATGCCATTAGTATTTTAAAAAAAATAAAAGATCATCACTCCAAAATAAACCATAAAGGATTAAATTACCTAATGAAAAAAGAATTGTTCAACAAGTAGAAAAAAATAAAAGGCAGATAAATTCTATGATCTTAGATGGAAAGGGATGTGTAGAGTAAAAACAAAAACAAAAACAACAACAAAAAAAGGAAAAGATGGATAGTTTTCCCTAGGATCAATATCTACATTATATAAAGTGCCCATTTGTGACTATTCCAGGAAGAAAATGGACAGTGCTGGACCAACAATAATATACCATATTTACTCATATGAAGATACACCCTGATCTCTTGGGCACAGTGAAGCACATTTACTTTCATACAGTGCTATGGGAAAACTGATAATAACAATTATAGCAACAGTAATCCATTGATTATGTGCCATCTTTATGAATTAGCTAACGTATTTTACTTGTAGCAAGTCATTTACTTTTTACTACAACATCATGTGGTAGCACTATACCAATTTTCCAGCTGAGGAACAATCAAATTAGGTAACTCAGCCAAATCTCATAGCTTGTAGGCAGCAGCAGGGTTGGCTTATCCATTAGGCATATTAGGCACAGTGTCTGAGGCTCACAATAGTTTTAGAGCCCACAAAACCACTTTCCTTCTTTTAAAATCAGAAGGAGGAAATATATGTTTAGGATAAAGAAAAGACGTTAATGTCTAATGTCAATATATTTGTTTCTATACCAATGTAGTTAGAAAATATGGTTTGTTATTGCTTTATGGAGAAAGAGGCTCATACAGGTAAAAATGCCTTAGGGCAACTGAAGGAATGTGGCCTGCAGTGGCAGAGCTGGTTTTTGATCTCAGGCAGAGTATTATCTAAGCCTGAGATTTTCCTGTAAGGCAAATTGCCAATGTGTTTCAAAAGGGCTGAACTTGTTCACAACTTTTGATTACGTTTAAGGATTCCTAACCTGAGACAGTAAGTAAGGAAATGGACAATGATTTATGAAAGCATATTTAAAACTGTTCATCTGAAGCCAAAGAGATGTTTTGTTCAATAATAAAAATAAATATTCAATATGAGGTGTCAGCTTAGGGGATTAGAATACTAGGAGCTTCTTTACAGTGCTGAGGTGGAAAAGGCAGTGGGCGTGAGGCACACTAGAGCAGGAAGCAGAAGGAGGAGTTGCACAAGCTCTGGGGCTGAGGAAAAGTACGAAGTTGAGGGAGGCTCTTTGTACACAGTGTTGAGTTTCTGTAAAAGGATCTGAAAGCAAAAAGGTGGGGGGAAACGTAGAGGAATAATCGTTGCTTAAGCAGAGACATGAGCGAGCACAGTCGAGGAAAGTCGAGGGCTTTTATAACAGGAGAGCCAGAGCATGTGAACATGAAAAGGGCTTCAACTATCACGTTAAATCTGTCACAAATGCTCAGAAGGCCCAGTGGATGACTTGAATCAGTGCAGTGACATTCTCCAATGTGTATTTTAGAATGATCTTTGTAGATCACGTGGGTATGCACCTGTTTCAAGTGTGAAGTCAGAGGGCAGGAACTGATGCTCTGGAGTAGAAGGGGATGTGGATTTGTGCAGTTAAGAGATACCTATTGAATCCCACACGTACTCGCGAAGTGTCGGTGCTGTTCTTGATCCACAATTCTTTCAAAAAGTTTAGAAAAGGAATTAGAAAGGAGCTTTAAGGTCAAGGGAAACTTTAGAACATAAAGTCTTAAAATATGATTATGCTGAGAAGTTATAGCCTCTAGAGGGTGAAGTTAAGGATATGCTAAGAAGGGGATCACAGGAAGGAGCAGACAGTAGAAGGTAAGCTTTGGAGAGGAGTGAAGACATCTAGCCTCTGAAAGGAGAACTAGTAAGCTTGGTGGTGGGGGTGGGTAATTCGTGGAGGTTGGGTGAGATGGTTAGTATAAAATTGTAAAAATCTATGCCTGAAGACCTTTATTATGTCTCTCAAGTCTCAAGTAGAAGATTAGGTCGTCGGGATTGTTGTGTGGTCATTACTGAGCTCTTTTTGCAGGTGTTTTTCTTCCAAAAACCATACAAATTACCGACAGAACTTTGCTAAACCAGCTGACTCCTTTGTATAGTGGAGCTAATAGACGATATCTTATGGGGCTGTTGTGTGGATTAATTGTGCTGACACAAGTACTTGCTCACTAAGCATCAGCTTTAGCATTGGGCTGATGTAGTGGCGGGGGACGAACAATTTGATTACTAATAAAAATGGACTGCAAGTCTGGTGTGACCATCTGCTAAGTGCAATTATTTACTCTTGCAATGGGTTCCAAGTCAAATACTAAACTCGGAAGCTAGGTCAAATATTTATTAACAGCTGACTCTGGCTGTACAGCGCTGGAGAAAAGAACACCAGGGCTCAGAGGCTCGTACCCGAGGTCTCGTACAGGGTTCCCCCGCGGACCGGAAAATCAAGTCAGTAAAGTGCCCAGCCAGAGTTCAGAGCAGCCTCTTCCCAAACCTCGGCGGCGGCCCCACCCCTTCCACACGTTCAGGCCCCGCCCCCCTCTCCTATTGGCTGTCCCTCTACCTCCACTCGACCACTCCGAAGACCCGGAGGAGCGGAGTTTTCCAAAGGCAGCCTCGGTGCGCTCTCGCTGCGCATGCTCGCGGGGAGCCGGATTCCGGGTCCGGAGTTGGAGGCTTTGGGCGGTCGCAGCGCAGCTCGGCGCGCGGTGTCGGGACGGCGGGCGGCCGGGAGGCGCGCGCTCGGAGCGCGGCGCCGGCGTCTTGGGCACGCGGCGCGCTCCCGCGCAGGGGAGGTGTGGGGTCGACTGGGGGTGGCGCGTGGCCGGGGTGGGGGTGGGGGGAGGGTCGGGTGTCGGCGCGCGCGGCGTGCGGGTTGCGAGTGGCTGCGGGCGGCCTTGGCTGCCGGGGCCGACGCCTGCTGCGAGATGGCGATCCTGGGGGCGGAAGGCTGAGGGCGGAAGGCTGAGGGCGCCCGCCGCGGGACGAGGAGGCGCCGCTGCCCAACCCCGGCGGCCGCGAGCCGGCGGCTTCGCGCCTGGTGAGGACGCGGGCGGGGGCCGGGCGGGACCCTGGCGCGACCCTGGCGCGGCGGCCGGGAACGCGGTCTGGGTCCAGGCGGGAGTTGGCGGGTGGGGTCCCGGGCTCAGGCCTGTGCTGCCGGCACCGGGGCGAAGTGTTTTTGTGCTCCGCCGCCCTCTCCGCCTGCGGTCCAGCCTCCCCAGCACCCCCTTCAGAGCTGCCCGCGCCCTGACTTTCACCTCAATTCCACCGCCCGAACCCAGGACTCCAGCCTCGCCGCGGCTTTTTCCGAGCCGGCTTCAGCACGTCGGGGCTTCCCTGACTCCGCAGCTCCCCCGCCTCCACCTTTCGTGACCTGCTGGGTCCCGGTGACCTTGCAGATTTTATTAGTAGTCTGTTATCTTCTGCTGACTTGGCCCTCTCCTTGAATTTCTTTTAAAAATTTTAATTCTGTAGTTTGCCCCATTGCTTTTAAACCTTCAGATAACCAGTTTTGTGTGCACAAGGATTGTGCAGTCCTTGCTTTACTCCATCGATTGGGAGTTGAGTTTCCCTTGCTTCAGTCATATGAAACCTTCATTAGGAAAGAGGAGTAGCTATTATAATTTAGACATTTTTACTCTTCCAGGATAAAGTATTTTTCCATGAGCTTGATTTGTTTTTCTTTTTCTATTAAGTTTTTTTTTTTTAAATCTTTTTGTGTAGGCAAATATACAAGATTTCTGTTATAAAATGCTATTGGTAATAGTGGAGAGATAACTTCTGGTTATCTCCCCACACCTTCCTTTATTTTTTTATATATGAAATACCTGTTTTATAGTTTTCTGCAGGTTTCTAAAAGAGCTCAGCTTATGTATAAATCCACTTCACCTGTCCAAGTCTTTGTGGATTATGCAAGAAAAATGCACCTTCTAAAAGAGAGACATTCTTTCATTTATGTGAACTTGCTTTCAGCTGTGAAGCAGTAGATAAAGCTGTGATTGAAAATTATAATTTTTCATAAATAGTTAATATTTTAAATATTGAAAGTGTAATGGTCAAGTGTCAACAGCTACTGAAATTGAGACTCAAGTACTGTATGTGGCATAGTTCTTAGGGACATAGCTTATTAAAATTTTCAAATAGTTCTTCCCATAAAATGTAGAACTGTGTATAAGACCTAAGACAGTATGTTTTGAAAAACAGTAATTAAGAGTTATGTTTTTTGGAAACCTGGCATGATACAGTACGTAACAGAGTTTCTTCCTTCCAAGAGATAGTAATCTTTGCTGTTTACTCCAGGATGGCTGACATTTCTTTTACTTCCCTGCACAATTAGTAAGCATCTACAGTACTGCATGACAGTGCCAGGTATTTTGGGAGTATACAAAGATGAGGATGATTAGCATTTTATGCCTTTGGGAGATAGGATTATATACAAATTCTCCATTGTCTTTTGGTATGCTGTTAAGTTTGTCTTTTGATATATTGTTGTTTCACAAACTGTGAAAATCCTCATAGAATTCAAATTCAGAGGGTGTGGAACTCATGTAGCAAGGTGGAGTTTGAGGAGTTGGTTCTTAGTGCTCCTGGCTTTGGAGCTCTTGGAATTGAAGGATGACTGACTTTTGATAGCAAGGAAAGATTAAAGCAGAGAAGAATCTAAGTGGAGTTCATACATTTAGGGATAAATAAGTAATTGGGTGGGACAAAGAAATAGTACTAGGTAAAAGATGATAAAGTAAAAATTTGGACCATTTAATACATCTGTTTTATCGATCCCTGGCACACACACACAAAAAAGTGAATACATCCGTTTTAATTCTAGGCTAATGACTTGGTTTTATGCACAGTGAGGATTCCACAGATGATTTTAGAGTTGGGAGTGAAACAATTTAAAAACTTTGTTCTAGGAGGGTTAATCTGGTAATTAATTCGCATGTAGGGCGAATTGAGTTGGGGGACCCTGGAGGTACATAGACTCCTGATAGTTGTGGTACTAATGCTAGTGGAAAGGAGAAAGGAAGTACAGTAGATGGAATTTAATGAGCACGAAGATGAAGAAAGTAAAAACCCAATTCTGATCAAGGAAGACTAGTAGTATTTTGAGTAAGATCCACGGAAGCTTTACTCCCTTAGCATGTGTGTTATTTTAATACAGCCTTTTAGAGGTTACTATCCCTAGGTGAAATTAAAATATTACTGGCTTGGAAAATTTTCATGTGCACCATGAGTATAAATTTAGGGGAATCTATGGACCACCTGAAGTTACTCCATGAACTGCATGGGCCAGTCTGTTGGGCTGGGGGGTGGCTCTCGGAATTACTGGAAACTTTAAAAAATAGAACCTTCAGATTCTTGAATTACATGGTAAGAACCCTACTGTAGAGACACGCTGTACATCTGAAAAATAATATTACATTTGTGTTGTTACAATTTGCAGAGAATTTTGAGTGATTTATGTTATTTGCTGTTATATTACAGGACACACTATTCCAAGGCTTTATATAACTTGCCCTAGGTATTAGCAAGTGGGTAAAGTTGAAATCAGGAGTTCATTGACAATGATGGGTTCTTTCTTGTATGAAGATAATGCAACTGACTTATTGTGAGTTGAATATAGTTATAACCTTTAAGTGACCTTGTCAGTTGAGGACTAGATGATCCCAGGAGTGTAGCATTCTTCATTTTTAAGTAATGGTTGTGGATACGTTATCGTGTTTCTCATGACAACTGAGAATTAGGTGGGTCTGGAGATAATCATTACTTTTTGATGAATATCATGAGGCTCAATAGATGTTTTAAGAAGCTAAATTTCCAGGGCATAGGACAAGGTTAGAACTAAAATTAGAGCTAAAATCCATGTTTGTGTACCTAGGTCAGTATTCTTTTCCCTCGAAACTTCTGATTCTATACCCACAATGAAACTTTAGTTGTAAACTGTATGTGAAGATTCTGGATGTACCTGTTTGAAGTATGGGTTAACTTTTGTACTGTGTAGATTTGAACTTGTCTGTTTCCATCTTTGTGTTAAGATGGTTGTCTTATTTCAATGGCTATTGGTAGGTAATTTTGAAATTTGTAAGTATTTTATCACAGAATAGTTAAACCTTTTGCCAAGGATAAAACAGAAGTTAGTTGATTTCTTGTTTGGAATAGTACATTGGTAAAATGTAGGTATTGGTTTCTTTTCAAAATATTTTGAATTTTAATCCTGTATTTATAAAGTGAAATTTGATTCTCATTTGTAAAAGCCTTGTCCATGAATATTTGTATTTTTGGAGCATACACATCAGAATCTTATTTCCAAAGTATTTATCAAGTTATTTGCCATTACAAAGTCTATGTATGTGCTTTACAAAGTATATACAATGATTTTACCAATACACACCAAGCTTCACCATTAAGAAGGACATCATTAAAAATTGCCTAGTATGCACTTAAAGTTCATGTTTAAACAATTTTTTGAATGTATTATATAAAACCATATGTCAGATAGTTGCTGAGCTATAGTGGAGACTAATATTTGTTGATTCAGCCGTGACATTTGTTACACTTAGCATTCATTCATAACACATACTGGTGTGCTTACTATATGCCAGACAGTGTGTTAGGTACTAGAGTACAATTTTGAGACAACAGACACGAGACCTGTGCTCTTAAAACATGTATTTAAAAGAGTACTGACATCAAGAACACAGACTTTATCTTCTGAGGTTGTTGGAATTTGGTGGAGTATGTTTATAACTTTCCCATTCTCTGGGGAAATAAGAGGAACTAGATGAACATTTCAGTTGTCTATTCCTGTGTAACAAACAACCCTAAAGTAAATGAGTTAAAACAACCATTTTCATTCAGTTTTGCTTTTCTGGGTGGAGTTCAGTTGGGTAGTTGTTCTGTCTTTGCTGGTGAGCACTGCAAAGGCTGGTTGTATTAAGATGACAGTTCAGCTGGAGACTCCTGGACACATTCTTGTAGTCTCAGAGTCCTTTCCTTTCCATGTGGGCTTGGCAGCAGGGTTGACAGCCTTACCTGGTAGCTTAGCATTCACAAGAGTGCAAAAGCAGAAGCAACCAGCCTTTCTGAAGGCCTAGGCTTGGGGCTGGCACAGGACCACTTCTGCCTCCTTCAGTTGGGTAAAGCAAATTAGGGGTTTATTTACATATGTTCATGAATCCATTTGAGACCAGGACTTGAACCCAGGGCCTTCACACTGAGTTATATCCCCAGCCGCACCTTTTTAAGATTCTGAGACAGAGTCTCGCTAAGTTTTCCAGGCTGGGCTTGAACTTGGGGTCCTCTTGTCTCAGCTTCCCAGAGTGCTGGTGGTTTGTGCCACCAAGGCTGACTGATTACACAAGTTTTATATAAGTATTATTTATATTTACGTATTATTTATATCAAGTATTATTTATTAAGTATTATTTATTTAAATTCTCAGCTGTATTACTCAGAACCAGGTCTCCTGGAAAACTGCTTTGGAAGCTGATGGTTAGGCTGCTTACTGCTTTCTGCAAATCTAGACTGAAATCTCTGCCTGCCGGAGGGAAAGGAGGGGGGAGGCTGAATCTAAGGTGCAAATGACAGCACATTTGGCTTACTACACCAACGGAAAGAGCTTGAGCTATTTGCTTAGAAGTGAAGAGGGTTTAGAGATGGAGCCAAGAGGTAGAATGCCTGCCTAGCATGCCTGAGAGCCCGGGGCCAATGAGAGTAGGGAAGAGAAAGAAAATACGAAGAGGGAATTGTGGACCTCTGTGGTTTGACCTAGTAGCTGCCATAGTGGGGCACGAGTGGCTTTATTCTGCTTAGGGGTAGTAGGGTCCAACAAAGTGTAGGGCCAAGACTCCAGGCTGCTTAGAAGCAGTGGTAATTTACTCACTTTGGTGAATTGGGTCAGACAGTAGCACATACAGAGTGGGCTCCTGGCTACAGAGAGGGAAATACCCGTACCCTCAGTGTGAGACCTGTGAGCCCAGACTTGGCTGGTCACTCTGACATTGACCATCCCTGACCAACCTGTGCCTCACACATGTACTTTCTGTTTGCAGCATCTTGAAAAAAGTCCGGATAAATCTCTTTTTGTGGGGGAGATACCACTAAAGTGGAAAGAGTACTTTTTCCTTCTGGAATCTGGAGTGGAATGCCTTACAGAAATGTAAGGAATAAGGTAATGTTCCTCCCTTCGTGAAGCAGGTAGATGGCTTGCATGCTAGCTAGGTTTTTCTCACTTTATCACTACCTTTTTCTCACTGTCATTTTGTATTAGTCTTAGTAGTAGTTTTTTTTTTTTAATTCAAGTTAGCAACTAAGTAGTGGCATAGTTGACTCTGAAATGAAAATGAGTAGTTTTTATTACATTATGGCTTCTGAGTGGAATAGTGAATTATTTCATTTAAAGAATTATGCTAAAAAAATGGGCCTCGCTAGCCTACTGCAAATCTGCAAATTTCTGAAAAAAGTACCTTAGCTGTTGTGGGGAGAAGTTTGGTGATGAAATGTACTGAGAAACATGATTTATAGAACTAGGGAAGAGGATGGATAGAATTAAGTTGTGGTGTTTCTTGAAAGTCCTCTTCCTTGCTCTTACTTTATTTAAGTAGGGAAACCAGATTTTTTGCATAGCTGTTCAGTATACCCATAATTATGACTAAATAGTATGGGTAGAAGCAAACTGTTGAGTCCTGACTTGAAGTGGAATACTGTGACTAACATTAGTCCCAACTTGCCAAGGTGTACTCCTCTTTGTATGTGTCGCATTAAAGAGAACTACTTAATTGAAGCTGCTCTGTATAAATTAAGAGATTCTTTACCTAACAAGCAGACAAATTAGATTGCTCTCCCCTTAAAAGTTTTCAAGAATACAGGCACTCTTGTCATACGGGTTAAGAGCCATAGTTTAAAGTCAGGTAGATCTGATCTCTCAGGGCTCTTTAATAGCAGTGTTGCCCTCTGGTTCTTTAGTAAGCTGAAAAGACTAATTACTGGATTTTTATAAGGATTAATTGAAATCCTTAGAAAACAATGCATGGTGGTTGCAACATAAGTCCTTAAATTATTTTTATTTCTCTTAATTCCCAATTATTAAATCGAGAAATCAAACTGGTGGTCACTTCATAGTGAGCCACTCATGTCTCAAGGCCAGTGTAGCTTATTTTTGGTTTGATCATATCAATCCCACCTCTAAATTTAAAAAATCAGTTACTAAAAGATTAAGAATGATCCTAGGAAAGATGCTAACACAGCTGGCAATATATCAGTGAGTGATGGTTTGGCCATGCAACTTGGGAATGAAAATTGTTAACCTTACCATCATAGATAAAATGTGGAGTAGACCAGTATTTTTCACAATGCAGTTCTCATTTCATGGTCATTTGGGTCAAACATGTCTTCCAGGGTGCATGGTGTGGCCCGTGAGAAGGGTGCTGAGGAGTCTTTGTTTTAGCAAATATTGCAGGTGGTGTTACACATATTAATTTGATAACTGTTGACAGAAACCAAATCTCTAATCTGGGCTCCTAGTGGGCTCTGTCAGAGACCATTTTTCTAACTAAAGTATTCCTTATGTACACGTGTAATGTACATACAAAGAGCTTAACATCTGAACTTTCCAGATGTTTGAAAAGGCTTGAGATAATTGCTGAGGACTTGTTGCAAAACAAACTATGGAAACTTGAAACAGGGAAATTATGGTGAAGAGTAGGCTACAGAAATGACTTTGGCTTCCTTGTTCAAGACTTTTTCCCCATTCTCTAAAAGAAGAAATTCTCTTGATTGATGACATTTCCTTTTTTTAAGAAGGAAAGACATTAAGTTGGACATTATGATTATCAGGTAGTCTACTTAAATAGAGCTTATTTATACAGAAGTGCGTCAAATTTGGAGTTTGGGCTTTTGGGCAAAAAGAAAGTTGACTCTGTTCTTATCATTGGGAAAACTCATTCTTTAGCATAAGGGCATTGACTTTGGGGAAAAAGTCACGAGGAAAGATTTAAATTTTAAATGAAAATGAAAAAACTTCAGGCTGCTGGTAATGATAGCTTGTGTCTATGTCACTTAAACTCAGTCCTGTGATGATCTGGACCCCCAAATCTGATAACATTTGGCACTGGAGGAGCAGATCATTAAAGTGGGGGCAGTTCGTGGAACAACCTAAAAAGTATAGTATGGTTGATGTAAACAACAGTTACTGCATTAGTAAGTACATTTTTTTTTTTAAACCAAACCTGTGATTCTTTATAAATTTGTGCAAAGGATTAGTTGGCATTTGAGGAGTCTGTTTGTGTTTCTTTTTACCGTCTTTGTGGGCCCGTTCTTGGGTGGGGCAGCAGACCATTTCTTTTTGTCTTACAACCTATGGATTACAATAAAGGTTGTTTATGTGTGACTACCTAGAATTGAAAAAATACATTATATTTGGGAATTTCATTTTTTCTAGATTAAAGTTTTTGGTAATTATAACTTGTTTTAAAAATTCCTTACTTTTTTTTCCACAGTATTGTGTATCAAAAGCTTAGGCCTTGAATAAGACAAAGCTAGATTTGAGTTCTGGCACTGGCTTATTGGTTGAGCTATGCTGGTCTAGTTAACCTAACGAAGGCTTGGATTTGTCCTATATAAACTGAGTGTTCGTATGTCAAATAATAATAAATTCATTTATTTAAACCTGACAGTATTCAGTAAAAATTCCCTAGATTAGGGGTTTGTTTTTTTTAGACATGGTCTCACTATGTATCTCGGGCTGGCCTTGAACCCAGTATGTAGCCCAGGCAGTTCTCCTGCCTCAGCCTTCATGTATTTTGGATCTTAATATTTTCATCTTAAAATGAAAATTTAATGAAATCTTGTACTTTGGTTTCACATTTTTAGAGTATTTGTAAATAGTAAATTCACATTGTGTCTATTACTTGCTAGATATCTAGAAATTGTATAACAAAAAATGTTGCAGCACTATGTTCCTCTCAAGTACTTAAATGTAATTTTGATCCAGTCCTTCAGGTGTGTGTTGGGGTTGCTGTGTATCATTCTATAGCATGGCTATGTAGCTGAAAGGCCTTATTCTGTCTATATTACTGTGAGTAGTAGAAAAATATTAGTATTACTGTACTTGAGAATAATTAAGAGTTTGGTTCTAGTGGTGGTGGTGATGGGGTAAGGGTTAGGAAATGAACGCTTACTGTGTATTATCTACATTCCTGATTCTAGAAACAGTTTGTTTCCTAGGGTTAATATTTATAATTCTCCCCCTTTCACACTTGAAAAAACTTCATTAATTTGGTGTTGGTGTCCTAATTTTTGAGGTAAAGAGAAGAGATTCAGATTAAATATACAAAATAGTAGAGTTGAAGTTTGGATGTAGGTCTGTCTGACTTAAAAACTTTTCTGAATTACATTCTCCCAATACACTATTCTTAAACTAGAAATTGTCATTTAGGAATTAAAGAGTTAGGAAATCTCTGTGCTTACTTAAGTGCCAGTAAATTGCAATTGTTAATGTATTCAGAAACAGGAAATTTGGGAGAATGACTGTAACTTTGGGTTGTGATAGTCTCGTGACCTTTGCAGTACAGAAGAGTACTAGTCTCGGCAGTGGGCTGGTACGCGCAGCTTGACATCAAGGAGCTTTGTGTTCTTGAGTCTTAGTCACCTCTGCTTCAGCTGCAAGTGTTCTTGACAGCTTCCTGCTGCTTCCTAAGGTGTAGCAAAGTTAGTCAGCCCTCTTTGTCTGTGGGTTCCTCATTCAAGGATTCAAGCAACCTCAGATTTATTACAAGGGATGTGGCATCTGAATTTGAGTTATCCGTTATGGATACCCAGGGATAGCTGAATATTGCCCAGCTCTTACTACATGTTAGGTTAGTTCTGAGAGTTTGGAATGCACGGTTTAATGTCCATAGTGTTATTTCTGAGGTAACATGTCAAAGGAGTAGGAAACCTATTTTCTATTGATGGTTACCAAGGCAAAGGGAAAAAAATTATCAAATGTGTAATTTTTTTGGCTTTATAATTTTTGTTATTTTCCCACTAAATATAATATTGCATATTTTAAGATATTGAGAAATAGAAAAAAAACTACCTCATCCTCAGTACTGATAACCATTTAGATATAGTTCTTTGTTGATATAACTACAGTGTAGTATCAGTTCTTTTTTTTTTGGTACCGGGGATCGAACTCAGGACCTTGCACTTGACTTGCGAGGCAGGCGCCGGAACCACTGAGCTAAATCCCTGGCCCTAGTATCAGTTCTTTAGAGACAGAAAATAAAAAAGAATCGTCTTAAGCATAGGAGAAATGAAGTTTGTCAGTGTTTAAAACATATTTAAATTATTTTGTAATTTATATTATTGAATTATATAATCAGTATAATTGAAATATTGAGGGAGGGAGTAGAGCAAGGAGAAAAATCATGATAACAGAATTCTTTCAAAGTTTTTATTTTTAAGAATGATGGCTTTTTAGGTTAAAAATTGAAATAGTTACTGCTGTATTTGATAAGTACATTTATTTTCCTGTCTTGCTAATTTTTCCTAATAAAACACAATTTTTAACTTGGTGTGTAGTTAAAATATTTCATTTTGAAGAAGTTGGTATGATATATTTACTTTTACTTTTTAAACAATTCTTTTTGATGGAGCAATACCACCATCTTGTGGCCTTCTAGTATAGTTTCCAAAGTTATTTTTCCACAACAATGAGCATAAATTAAATTGTTCTCTATATTAGACAAGGATTCCATTAATTTAGTAATTGTTAGTTTTTACCATTTATGGGGGTTGGGAGTAGAAAATAAAATGATGTGTCTAGGATTGCAGCTTTGTAAAAACGTGGGTGTTTGAGGCAAATAATGGTATAGAAATAAAAATTGTGAGGTTGGTTACACTTATGGATGATTTGTTTTGTATGAAATATGCAGTGTTTTCAGGGAAGTGATGCTAAGCTTTAAAAAAAGTAATGTTTTGTGCGCTGTTTCTCATTTAATAAGAAAATGAAGGTCCAGGGAAATTTAGATGCCCTGTCTTACTCAACTACTTAATGGGATATTTGTTTGTTTGTTTTGTCTAAAACTTTTCTAAACTGTTGACTCTTGAATGAGTATCTTCTACATGAATTTTTAGAATTTGATGGTAATTTTAAAGGCAAAAAACATTAAATGTATTGTGGTTCATTTT